GGAGATTTACTGCTGATCACAGAACCGTGCTTCACTGAAAGATACGCATGACAATCACAGCTTCTGTCGAATCGCGATCTCGATTCCATTTTAATTTATCGTGCAGCCTTACTTTCCAGCATTTAAGTAATAAAATATTTAAAATACATGCAGCAAAGCCCAGCAGTTACCTGTTAATGCCTTGTAATGTTTTGTAAAGAAGTCTCTTCTGCTCATCAAGGCTGCTTACTTTCCAGCATTTAAGTAATAAAATATTTAAAATACATGCAGCAAAGCCCAGCAGTTACCTGTTAATGCCTTGTAATGTTTTGTAAAGAAGTGTCTTCTGCTCATCAAGGCTGCATTTATTTGATCAAAAATACAGAAAAAACAGTAATCTTGCAAAATGTTATTACAATATAAAATAATGGTTTCTATTTTAATATCCTTTAAAATATAATTTATTTCTGTGATGCAAAGCTGAATTTCCATCATCATTACTCCAGTATAAAGTGTCTCATGATCTTCAGAAATCATTATTATTAGAATTATCAACAGTCGTGCTGCCAAATATTATTTTTTTTGGAAACTGCGATACTTTTTTCAGGATTCTTTGATGAATAAAAAGTTAAAAAGAACAGCATTTATTCAAAATATAAATCTTTTCTAACAATATACATATTTGCTATCACTTCTTATCAATTTAACACATCCTCGCTGAATAAAAGTTTTAATTTCTTTAAAAAAATAAAATAAAGAATAAAAATGTACTGACCCCAAACTTTTGAACGGTAGTGTATATTGTTAGAAAAGATTTATTTTTTAAACAAACGCTCTTCTTTTTAACTTTATATTCATCAAAGAATCCTGAAAGAAGTATCGCAGGTTCCAAAAAAATATTTGGCAGTACAACTGTTGATAATTCTAATAATAATTCAGCATATTTTTATGATTTCTGAAGATCATGCGTCACTGAAGACTGGAGTAATGATGCTGAAAATACAGCTGCGCATCACAGAAATAAATTACATTTTAAAGGATATTAAAATAAAAACCATTATTTTATATTGTAATAACATTTTGCAAGATTACTGTTTTTTCTGTATTTTTTATCAAATAAAAACATAAATAAAAATTTTAAAAACATTACAAGTCTTACTGATCCCAAACTTTTGAGCGGTAGTGTATATCATAAGCTATTATATATATACTCAGAAATCAATATAGCTCATTAAAGCTAAACATTTGTGTTTATTTGCGATGTATGGTGGGAAATGTGCTGATGGTTACCAGTGAAGCAGCTAATCAGGCTGTTTTATGCGGGGTAACATGTTACAATAATAATAATTATATACATGTTTAAGAAATTTTTCGGTTAAAAAATTCTTTAGGAAAATTTCATGATTTAAATTTTCGTGATATAATAAGTAATCAATAAGCAATTGGTTGCCAATATATTTATTTTAATACATTTATCTGAAATATTGTATTATATTTGTTTACACATATTTACTAGCTGAACATAACTAGAAAAATATATTAAAATATTTTAAATATATATATATATATTTTTTAACTTAATTTGTTGACATACAAACTAATTGAAAAGCTCTTTTGCATTTCATCATTGGACATTTTCAAATTATTTTTAATTAATTAAAGAAAGAGACAGATATATTATGTGCAAATTTGGTCAAACACTTTTGCACATTAAAATATATAAAATATATTGGCAACAAATTGCTTATTGATTACTGTTTATATCACGAAAATTCACAAAATCTTCATCTTCAAGTCATGAAATTTTCCTAAATAATTTTTTAACCAAAGAATGTCTTAAACATGTATATAATTATTATTATTGTAATATGTTACCCCTGAAACATAATGCATTACTTTTGCATTACCTTTCCTCATAGTTATTTGAATGTTTTTTAATGTTGTCTATATATATATATATATATATAAACATTTATTTCAAATATTTCTTCATAATTACCTGAACAATATTTAGAACAATTATTAATATTATTATTTTAATTATTACTTTTTAATTATATGTATTTAATATATATGTCTTTATATATTATATATAATAAATATTATTAAAAAAATATAAATAATAAATATAAATAATTAAATGTAATAAAAAGCACAAAGGAAAAAAATTAACAATACAATTTTTGTTTAAAAAAATACGTTTAGAAAATTTCATAATTTGAGATTTTTGTCAATTTCCATGATATTTCTGAAATTGTCAAATGAGTTTTTTCTGCTAGATCTGAATACAGTGAACAGTAAGCAGCACTGATGGTGAGCTGTGGCAGTGTTCTGGTGGAGAGCGAGCGGTGAGCGTCCGCTGGTGTCAGATGAGAGTCTGTGTGATGGATGAGGCTCTTTCAGGCTGCAGTGGATATTTACACACACCAGGGCACTGAAGACACTGAGTCAGGGGTCAGCAGACACACGCAGACGCTTACCGTGGATGTGAGTCTCTCCAGAGCCTTCATCTGCAGGATCTCGCTGCAGATATCACGCTTCCTGTCTGGGTCTTCCTCGGGTCTGCAAGAGAGAAAACACACACACACACACGATAAAACACCTCTGATGCAGGACTGTCCCGTGTGAGCCGACCTCTGACAGTGATATTCTGCAAGACAAGCAGCAGATGTCATGTTCAGAGTCGGCCCCGTCCCAAATGATGCACTTCATGTGAGGGTTCAGAGGCGCCCTTGATGCACAATTGGACCAAGTATGCACTAATGTGGATTACTGCTAACAGAATAAGCAGCATTAACTCATCAATTGTGGACTTGGAGGAAGACGGCAAGGAATTAAAGCACCTTTTGGGAGAAAAATGCAACTGCACTACCAATAAAATAAAATAAAATAATAAAATCAAATAAAACAAAATAAAATAAAATAAAATGCCAAGGCAACATTTATAATTTTCGTTTAGTTTAAGCTGAAGCACTAAAATTTCTATATTCCTTAATAAAGTAAATAACTCTAAAACTGAAATAAAAATAAATTAAGTAATATTTAAAAAAAAGTAATAAAATGACAAAAGCATAAAACAAAATCAACAAAAAATTAACTACAGTTCAAATGAAAACTGAAGGTCTAAAAATATAATATAATTAAAATATTAATGAATACTAATTAAAAATATTATTAAAACCATAATAGTTGATACTATAATATAATACAAAATAATATAAAACTTTTTTCCATTAGTTGCCAAAGCAACATTTCTCATTTTCAACTAAAGTTGAAGCACTAAAATTACTAACTGGAAATAATAATAATTAATAAAAACTAAACTGAAATAAATAAATAAATATTAAGATGTTCAAAAATATATGAAATTGAAAAAAAGCACATAAGATTATTAACAAAAAATAAAATGAAAACTGAAAGCATAAAAATGTAAAATATTAATAAATACCCCTTCAAATTGATAAAACTATAATAGTTAACGATAAAAAAAAACTATAATATAATATTAATAAAAACTATTTCAGCTAGTCTCCAAAGCAACATTTCTCATTTTCATTTATTCCGTTGTAGCATTAAAATTACTGTCTGGAAATAAAATAAATAAAAACTAAAACTGAAATAAAAATAAATTAAGCCTAAATATTAATGACAATATTAAATCTACAGCCCTCGGCTCTCTACTGCCTCCTGCTGTGCTGCATTACACCAGGCTCCAAAACACACATGAAGATCAAACTCGGCTTTTGACATGAAACACATGAAGCTGAATCCACATTTAACCTCTGATGGACAACATATAGGTACAGTTTTTATGTTTGTTTGTTTAATAATTAAAGAAAAGTTCTTCATTATATAATTTCTTCAGCTCAGTGTTTTGGGTTCATTAAAGCAGCAGAATTTAAAAAACATGCTATGCAGTTCTTTGTGCATTATTATATTATATTATATTATTTAAAATATTTTTCATAACTAGCTGCACAACTAGAAACATTTAACAAAAATAAACAAAATGCATATTTAATCTAAAAATAAAATTTCAATTTTTTCCATTTATTGTTTTATATTGTTATATTATTTAAAAAACTATAATATAATATTAATAAAAACTATTTCAGCTAGTCTCCAAAGCAACATTTCTCATTTTCATTTATTCCGTTGTAGCATTAAAATTACTGTCTGGAAATAAAATAAATAAAAACTAAAACTGAAATAAAAATAAATTAAGCCTAAATATTAATGACAATATTAAATCTACAGCCCTCGGCTCTCTACTGCCTCCTGCTGTGCTGCATTACACCAGGCTCCAAAACACACATGAAGATCAAACTCGGCTTTTGACATGAAACACATGAAGCTGAATCCACATTTAACCTCTGATGGACAAAATATAGGTACAGTTTTTATGTTTGTTTGTTTAATAATTAAAGAAAAGTTCTTCATTATATAATTTCTTCAGCTCAGTGTTTTGGGTTCATTAAAGCAGCAGAATTTAAAAAACATGCTATGCAGTTCTTTGTGCATTATTATATTATATTATTTAAAATATTTTTCATAACTAGCTGCACAACTAGAAACATTTAACAAAAATAAACAAAATGCATATTTAATCTAAAAATAAAATTTCAATTTTTTCCATTTATTGTTTTATATTGTTATATTATTTATAACATATTTTTTCATAACTAGCTGAACAACTAGAAAAATAAATGTGAAAATACAATTTAAAAAATAAATATTTAATATAAAACAAAATAAATAAAAATAACATTTACAATATCAGTTTTATGATGCATATTTTTCTCATTTTCAAATTGTACAAACAAATAAATAAACATATATATATATATTTTTTTTTTTCATCTGTGCTTGGGGTTCTTTACAGCACCAGAATATAAAAAAAATATATATATATTATAATTATAATATATTTACATACACAAAATAAAAAATATTTGTGTTCCTTTTTAAAAGCTTTTATTTCTCACCAAAAAAGGTTTTTGCATAGGCTTTATGATTCCTTGGGGATTGACCTTATCTTATTATTTTTAGGAGTTAAGAGCAGATTGTGCAGGTATAAACCACACCATGAGCAGAAAAAAAGCCTGAAAACGGCTATAATCCGGGACAAAGCGCTTGTGGAGCATAAACCTCCACACAGTATCACACACAGCTCAAACTGGGCCAGTGAGTTTGAGAAGTGGGCCAAAGTTTCCCTCCTTCTCCTGCGCCGTCAGTCCATTCATCACAGCGACTGACGTGCTTTCATCACACCATGCATCTCTCCTCCTCGCCTGTCTCTACCTCCACCAGACACGGCGGCTGAAGTGATTCGCAATGGCGGCGACTTCTAAACGAATCAGGCACGATTGCATGAGATTGCTATTCACACACTTGCACAAACACACAGGCTCGCAAATGCACACGGCAGGCAAATGTAGACATAAACGCACACACATACGCAAATGCACGCTCATTCAGCACACAGAAGCATTACTAGTTTCACAGAGCTGAAGAGAAAATTCAAATAGCATGCAAATGAGGCACGCAGCGCGAGGTGTGTGTGTGTGTGTGTGTGTAGGTGTGTGTGTGCGTGTGTGTGCGTGTCTGTGTGTGTGAGCGTGTGTGTGCGTGTGTGTGTAGGTGTGTGTGTGTGTGTGTGTGTAGGTGGCTGAAAGCGAGGCAGTATTCAAACAATCCTGGCTAAAAGCATCACTCCTGTAGCTCCAGGGGTTTCAATTCTGCCGAAGAGACGGTCACGACCGGCACAACAGAAACCACAGTCACATCCACACACAACACACACAGTCACATCCACACAACACACAACACACCACACACACAGTCACATCCACACACAACACACACAGACACATCCACACACAACACACACAGTCACATCCACACAACTCACAACACACCACACACACAGTCACATCCACACGACAAACAACAAAACAAAACCATACGCACAAGCAAACCTGCAGAAATGACAGAAACAAATAATAAAATAAAGACTTGATAAAACAAATACAATTCATTTTAATTAAATTTAGTTCTAAATACATTTTTGTATTACTTTTTTATATTTATTTACATTTTACTTAAAATCAAAATGTAATTTTAGTTTTAATTCTGCATAATGTATTTATTTATATTTATTCTTTATTCTTTCCGACTTTATTTTTTATTTATTTTTCCATTAATTTCGTTTTTTTTTTTGTATAATTATTTGTAGTATGGAATAAATACATGCAGGAATAAATTAATATGAAAATAAATGAATGCATAAATATAAAAATAATAAAAACATAAATATACAAATAAAAATACATAAATGTAATAATAGGAAAATAAATAATGGAATAAATGACTTGATAAAACAAATGCAATTCTTTTAATTAAATTTAGTCCTAAATTAGTTTTTGTATTACTTGTTTTCCTTTATTAATTATTTTCTGTATTTTTACAATTATTTTCTTATTTTTAACTTTATATTTATAATTTTTAACTACATTGGTTATACTTATAATTTTTTTTTTTTATTTGTAATATGGAAATAAATACATGTGGGAATAAATATATATTTATATATAAAGAAAACGATCATTTCTTTCGCCGTGAGGCTGCAGATTCAGGGTATTGCAGTGCGGTAATATCAGCAAACTCGCATGAGTTTTATGTTTGATCTCATTTGTTTGGCTTGTGCGCGAGGATCTCATTTCTGCTTTAATACACTCCCATCTGCATGCGGCGTGATGAGAAACGCAGAGGCGAAGGGACTCTGAACCCGATCGAACGGCCCGGCGTCAGCGAGGCCAAACCGTGTCACTTCCAATTCTGTCAGGGAGGGAAAAAAACTGCTGGCGTGGATGTTCACCTTCCTGAAATTGCCATCAGCTGTCTGCTCAGATCTAATCTGGCGGTTCACATCTCTCTGCGATATCATAAAAACAGCCCCGCTGAATCGAATCTTGCTCAAAAGCATTCTCATCATCTTCACCGAAGACACATTTAAGCCAATCAAATACTTTAATCTACACTTAACTTGGTTGAATCGACGCTCTGGATTGGTCTACCGCGTACAGCAGGTGTCAGAAACGAAACACCCATTGCCATGATGGAATGACAGCCTTGGAGACTTGACGATACATAGAAAAGATGGTATCGATTGTACCTTACCGATTCGAGCCGGAGTCTGATGATGAAACGGTAGAACTGGCTGATCGACAAGAGACTGATTCGCAAGCACGACTGGAGCAGGACGTTTCTCAGTGGTAAGTGTGTTGGAGACTTGTCGATACATAGAAAAGATGGTATTGATTGTACCTTACCGATTCGAGCCGGAGTTTGATGACGAAACGGTAGAACTGGCTGATCGACAAGAGACTGATTCGCAAGCACGACTGGAGCAGGACGTTTCTCAGTGGTAAGTGTGAAGTGTTAACAAGTTTGTGGCAATTATAAGATGTGATAAAACAAATTTACTCTCACAGCGTAGGATACAGCGTCTTCTCGACATGATGTTAACCACACGGAAATTTGACTGTGTTTGTGGGCGGGCAAGTTGGCGGCGTAGAACGTGGGCGGACATTATGCAAATGTGTTACTCCGTGACATAGAGCCGTAACAGAATAAGATTCGAATTCCTGGCGACTCGTTTAGGTGATTTTTTGATAGACAATAACTTTATTTATCGTGCACTGTCGGCTTCACAACTTTGCAGATAGTTTATGTTCACATACAGCTACATGACACACTGCATGAAAGGTAATATTCGAAAATATTTGTTTTATTTCTGCATAATAGGGGCACTTTAAAGGGGGTGATTCTTTTCTCTACCATGTATGTGTATATATATATAGCATGTAACATGCATATTGTTTATACTTACGGGCTGACGACCCTGAACTGGACGTAGGGGACGAGCTGCAGCAGAAGACGGACGCCGTTCTGCCATTCCTCCTCGTTGCGAAACTCACAGCCCTGAGCGTCGCACTCCTCGAACGAGAACTGATAATATGTGTTGGAGTCTTCAAACACCAGCCGCTGGTCGACTGAGGGGACGACAGAGAGGGATTTATAACACGGCACACATATGATGTGATATAGAGCTGTTCAAGTTTGCGGTCCTAGAGAATTGGCATTTTCCCACTGGAATGGTTCCCCCAAAACCCATTAGAAATTCCAGAGGGATCCCACAGCGAATCTGCCTCCCGGGTTGACCTACAAACATACATCATGACTGAACAGCTCCATTATATATACAGCTGATTCTTCACACTATACAGTATTCCATGCAGTGTGCTCCAGTTCTATCCTGCACTGTATTTCATATTCCATACAATATTCCATTCCTTTATTCAAGCCTGCATACAGAAAATTCTCAATTCTAAAAATGTAGCAGTACCTAGAACATGCAGTGTGTGTTTACCTAAAACTAAAACCATAAAATGTTTTAATTTGAAATAAAATAAACATTAAATGAAATAAAATACAAAAAAACTGTTAAGTTGAAGTACTAAAATAGCTCAAATAAAAAAACATTTTTTTTTTACTAAAATAAAATGAAAACAGAACATTTAAAATAACTATCAACATAAATTCTAACAGCATTTCAATGATGGTAAAATAAGACAGGTTATTAACCTGAGTGCAGTATTCCCAGCTCCAGCAGCACCTGCCAGACACGAGACGCCATTAACCTGCACTGAACTGACACACACTGCTCCAGGAGCCACTGGACGAGACGCCATTAACCTGCACTGAACCGACACACACTGCTCCAGGAGCCACTGGACCAGCTCCACACCGACATAACTCCTCCTGCATGGACACACACACACACACACACACACACACACGCACACACACACACACACACACACACACACGTTATTGTCGGCTTCTATATTACATGCACTATTATTTAAGAGGTTGGGGTCTGTAATTTTTTATTTTTTTTTTTCAAAAGAAATGAATGCTTTTATATAGCAAGGATGCGTTAAATTGATCAAACGTGACAGTAAAGACATTTATAATGTCACGAAAGACATAATTCTATAATTCTGTTTCAAATAAATGCTGCTCTTTTGAACTTTCTATTCATCTGTGAATCCTGAAAAATAAAATGCATCACAGTTTCCACAAAAATATTGGACAGCACAACTGTTTTCAACATTGATAATAATCAGAAATGTTTCTTGAGCAGCAAATCAGCATATTAGAATGATTTCTGAAGATCATGTGACACTGAAGACTGGAGTTATGATGCTGAAAATTCAGCTGCACATCACAGGAATACATTACATTTTAACAATATATTCATGTAGAAAATCGTTATTTTAAGTTGGAATAACATTTCACAATATTACTGTTTTTTATCAAATAAATGCAGCCTTAGTGAGCAGAAGACGCTTCTTTTAAAAAATATTTAAATATTTTTCGTTAATTATAAATGCATTTTTCCTAAATATTCTAAAACTACATTTGGATTAACTTGATTAAAGACCTTTTCAAGGGTAGAAACAGAATAACTCCAATAAAATATGTTTGTAACGTTACTTGACATGCATAAACGGTCTACAGTTCTGCTAAAGGCAGAAAAAAATATTTTCATTGTGATTTAAGAAATTGAATAATTTATTGACTATTTGTGTTTTTATAATATTGCTGTTGCTGCTGTTTTATATTTAAATATTTTTCGTTAATTATAAATGCATTTTTCCTAAATATTCTAAAACTACATTTGGATTAACTTGATTAAAGACCTTTTCAAGGGTAGAAACAGAATAACTCCAATAAAATATGTTTGTAACGTTACTTGACACGCATAAACGGTCTACAGTTCTGCTAAAGGCAGAAAAAAAATATTTTCATTGTGATTTAAGAAATTGAATAATTTATTGACTATTTGTGTTTTTATAATATTGCTGTTGCTGCTGTTTTTCATTCTGCTTCATACATCCATTAAAATCAATATTAAACACTGTTTGCAATCCATTTTGCTTCAGTAATGTGATGTACAGTATTTCCAAATGAAAGGCAGGAATTGATTAGATCGTGAAAAGTGATCTCTATATTTCAATAAAAACAATATACTAAATGCAATTTATTTAGAACAACATGCACTAATGAATAATTCACAATAAGACCAGGAATGTGATTAAAAAGATGTAAAAGTGTTAAACTCACTGTGACACTCTCATTGCATTTGCTTTAATATGATACGCGGTGTAACATTATCGTGCTGTCACTGATTTGCATTTTCATCTAGTGCATGTGTGCATTCGTTAAAACATGCATAGCTGATTCTGTGTTTTGCTGTCACACGTTCACACTCCACCATCTGACGGGACGTTTTTATCCAATCAGAGTGAAGTTTGGACAGCGGCCATCAGTCACAGCGATAACAGACAGCTGATGAGTCAGCCAACCGACCACACACACACACACACACACACATACAATGACACTAAAACACGCTTTAACCTCTCTTACATTGATCCTGTGATTGTAAGAGTTATATCACACAACCACAGTACAACATGTACAACAAAAATCATCACTACCAGTTCAGCTGTGACAGTTCCTGTACTTCAGCTAGAAACGCCAAGGTCATGGATTCAATTGCCAGAGAACACACACATTTCTGAAAGAAGACTCTTCTGCTCACCAAGGCTGCATTTATTTGATTAAAAATATAGTAAAAACAGTAAAATTATGAAATATTATTACTATTTCAAATAACTGTTTTCTATGTGAATATGTGTTAAACTGTAATTTATTTCTGTGATGCGCAGCTGAATATTCTGCATCGTTTCTCCAGTCTTCAGTGTCACATGATCTTCAGAAATCATTCTAATATGCTGATTTGCTGCTAAAGAAACATTTCTGATTATTATCAGTGTTGAAAACAGTCGTGCTGCACAATATTTTTGTGGAAACTGTGATTTATTTTATTTTTCAGGATTCACAGATGAATAGAAAGCTCAAAGGAACAGCATTTATTTGAAATAAAATCTTTTGTGGCATTATAAATGTCTTTACCGCCACTTTTGATCAATTGAATGCGTACTTGTTGACTAAAAGTATCAATTTCTTAAAAGAAAGCTGTAGCTTGAATAAGCTTTGAATGAAGTGGCTAGCAAATGCACAAATGTAAATCCCTCACCTGATAATCCTGGCGAGGTGGATCTTGTCTTTTGCTGGATACGGTCCATGAGACAGAAAGGCATTTCTCAATGCACGTCCAGCGCAGGGAAAACTCTGAGAACATGTCTGTCAGACAGAAAGATCATCTCAGGATGGATTTAAAAGTTGACGCCGTGTAATATGAATGCTTGACACTATAAAATAATCATAAATATAAAGAGATGCACAAATAAAATCTCTTTAACACCTCAACTATTTCCCCTAGAGAGCAAAGAAAGAGGCAAATTAATGCTTTCCTGACTTTTCAGATGTTTTTGACTCAAATAAACTTACATTTATCTCCTCTAGAGATGCAGAAGAGATCGAAATGATGTCTCAGCTAAAAAATGTCTCAATTTTATATCTCTATACTTGTACTGCACATTCTTTTGTGTCTTTTTTGTGTCCCTTCTTTGTCTTTTTATATGTCCTAAGAAATGTAAGGAGAAATATTTTGAAACAACCTAAATGGTTGTTTCATGGTTAGGGCATTGCTAGGAGGTTGCTAAGGTGTTGCTAGATAGTTGCTAGGGCATAACTAGTTTGTTGTTAGGGCGCTGTTAGAGTGTTCTATACTAGGTTGTTGTTAGGGCAGTGCTAGGTTGTTCCTAAGGCATTGCTAGAGTGTTCTAGAGAGAGTGGTTGTTAGGGCATTGCTAGGTTGTTGCTAAGGCATTGCTAAAGTGTTCTAAAATAGGTGGTTGTTAGGGTATCACTAGGTAGTTGCTAAGGAGCTCTAAGAGGTTATTAGGGCATTGCTAGGTGGTTGCTAAGGTGTTGCTAGAGCATTGCTAGTTTGTTGCTAGGGAGCTAGTGTTCTATACTAGGTGATTGTTAAGGTGTTCTAAGTGGTTGTTAGGTCATTGCTAGGTGGCTGTTAAGGTGTTCTAAGTGGTTGATAGGTCATTGCTAGGTTGTTGCTAAGGTGTTGCTAGAGTGTTCTACAGAGGGTGGTTGTTAGGGCATTGCTAAATGGTTACTAAGGAGTTCTAGGGGGTTGTTAGGGCATTGTTAGGTTGTTACTAAGGCATTGCTAGAGTGTTCTACAGTAGGTGGTTTTTAAGGCATTGCTAGGTGGTTGTTAATGTGTTCTAGGTATTTGCTAGGGCATTGCTAGGTCGTTGCTAAGTTAGGGCATTACTACAGTAAGCAGTTGCTAACGTGTTCTATTATGTTGTTAGGGCATTGTTAGGTTGTTACTAAGGCATTGCTAGAGTGTTCTACAGTAGGTGGTTGTTAAGGCATTGCTAGGTGGTTGTTAATGTGTTCTAGGTATTTGCTAGGGCATTGCTAGGTTGTTGCTAAGTTAGGGCATTACTACAGTAAGCAGTTGCTAACGTGTTCTATTATGTTGTTAGGGCATTGCTAGGTTGTTGCTAAGGTGATTCTAGAATGTTCTACAGTAGGTGGATGTTAGGGCATTGCTAGGTGGTTGCTAAGTTAGGGCATTACTACAGTAAGCAGTTGCTAACGTGTTCTATTATGTTGTTAGGGCATTGCTAGGTTGTTGCTAAGGTGATTCTAGAATGTTCTACAGTAGGTGGATGTTAGGGCATTGCTAGGTGGTTGCTAAGGTAGGGCATTACTACAGTAAGCAGTTGCTAACGTGTTCTATTATGTTGTTAGGGCATTGCTAGGTTGTTGCTAAGGTGATTCTAGAATGTTCTACAGTAGGTGGATGTTAGGGCATTGCTAGGTTGTTGCTAAGGTGATTCTAGAATGTTCTACAGTAGGTGGATGTTAGGGCATTGCTAGGTTGTTGCTAAGTTAGGGCATTACTACAGTAAGCAGTTGCTAACGTGTTCTATTATGTTGTTAGGGCATTGCTAGGTTGTTGCTAAGGTGATTCTAGAATGTTCTACAGTAGGTGGATGTTAGGGCATTGCTAGGTTGTTGCTAAGGTGATTCTAGAATGTTCTACAGTAGGTGGATGTTAGGGCATTGCTAGGTTGTTGCTAAGTTAGGGCATTACTACAGTAAGCAGTTGCTAACGTGTTCTATTATGTTGTTAGGGCATTGCTAGGTTGTTGCTAAGGTGATTCTAGAATGTTCTACAGTAGGTGGATGTTAGGGCATTGCTAGGTTGTTGCTAAGTTAGGGCATTACTACAGTAAGCAGTTGCTAACGTGTTCTATTATGTTGTTAGGGCATTGCTAGGTTGTTGCTAAGGTGATTCTAGAATGTTCTACAGTAGGTGGATGTTAGGGCATTGCTAGGTGGTTGCTAAGGTAAACTAAGTCATTGTTAGTTGGTTGCTAAAGTGTTCTAGATGATTGCTGGGCATTGCAAGGTAGTTGCTAGGGCATTGTTAGGTTGTTGCTAAGGCATTAATATAGAGTATTCTTGGAGGTTGTTAGGGCATTACTAGGTTGTTGCTAAGGTGAACTAGGAGGTTGTTAGGTGGTCGCTGACTTGTCCAAATTAAAAGATCCCAACACCAAATTTCCACATCTAATATGAGTATCCTGAGTAAAGAAATCTTAAAAGCATTAAAATCAGAACTGAATTGGATGAAAAAACATTTAGATTATTAGTATTAATAATATTATCTAATTTAGCTGTTTACTGAACATTTATTGAACTTTATTAAAGCAATAAGCTGTGCATTGCCTTCATTTTACCTCAGTAACTCAATATATAGGGATCTGGCTTTGCTATAACCCCGCCCACAGTGGAATCTCATTGGTCAAACCTCTACATTAAACATCAAATGTTCTGATTGGATTTTTGCTTTCAGATTAAATCGTGGCTGCATAGATCACAGCGTAATGCTCATTCTCTCGTGGCTTATTGCTGTAATAAATTCTGGGGTCATTGAAAGAGTAAGATAAAGATCATAATCTCTAGTCAGCGATAATCATCATTTTGTTCATTGTTATGTGATGATCTATGAAACAGAAAGCAGAAGAGCCTTTAGAGGGGTTTCTGGGGATCCTGACATTGTGTTTGATCCTATATCTAATGTTTGTACTTTTGCACACACGGGTGATTAGCCGTTAGCGCGAGCGTTTAGCAGAGCTCATGCACGGATTAAAGGAGCTTCAGAGATTCTAATGAGACGAGATGAATCACAGGAGAAGATATTCGTTAGATCCACAGATTAACACCACTGAACTCACATGTGTGCGAGAGAGAGGCAGTTTCAAAGGGATGTATTGATCAGATGTTCCTCATGGACAGGGTGCAAACTACGGGGGAGCTAGGGGGAGCTCGGCTCCCCTTAATAAGACACGGGCTACCCTGAAAACGTGATTTGTGAAATTTTGGGGGTCTCAAAAAATATTGACAATGTGTTATTTTGACGTGCAATTTCAGTTTTGTTTAATGTGATCATCATGGATTATTATGTGTAAATTTTGTTCATTGTTATGTGATGATCTATGAAACAGAAAGCAGAAGAGCCTTTAGAGGGGTTTCTGGGGATCCTGACATTGTGTTTGATCCTATATCTAATGTTTGTACTTTTGCACACACGGGTGATTAGCCGTTAGTGCGAGCGTTTAGCAGAGCTCATGCACGGATTAAAGGAGCTTCAGAGATTCTAATGAGACGAGATGGATCACAGGAGAAGATATTCGTTAGATCCACAGATTAACACCACTGAACTCACATGTGTGCGAGAGAGAGGCAGTTTCAAAGGGATGTATTGATCAGATGTTCCTCATGGACAGGGTGCAAACTACGGGGGAGCTAGGGGGAGCTCGGCTCCCCTTACACGCGCAAGGCTCCCCCAAAGTGCACGGTATAGTTCGAACACTGCTCATGGAGTATGTCATTAACTGCACTGATGTTTTTGTTAACTAAAACTAAAAATATAATAGATCATTTTCGTTAATTGAAATTTATACTCAAATGAAATATAAATATAAATATTAGATGAAAAACTTAAAACTGAAAATCAGAAATGTTGCCATGGCAACTAACTAAAATAAAGTAAATTGACGTACTAAAATTAATAAAACTAAAACTGACATAAAAAATAAATATAAAGAATAAATCTAAATAAAAAATAAAATAAATAAAAATAATAGAAAATAGAAAAACTAATAAAAATGGCACAAGCACATAACAAAAACTTCTAAAACAAACTGAAACTAAAATGAAGATTGAAAATATAAAAATAGCTAGCTAGTAAGCTACCTAGATCTAAATTTTCTCAAATTAAATGCTAATTAGAGTTTTTTTAAATTACTAAAACAACCTGAAATTAAAATGAAAATTGAAAATATTTAAAAAAAAAATTTAAAAAGCTAATACAATATATGAATAAATACTATAAAAAAATACTAAAGTACCACAGAAGACAGACAGACAGACAGACAGACAGACAGATAGATAGATAAGATAGATAAGATCCTAAGATAGATAAGGCCCTTTCAAATGACTCAAAACTCAACAAGCACATAACAAAAACTTCTAAAACAAACTGAAACTAAAATGAAGATTGAAAATATAAAAATAGCTAGCTAGTAAGCTACCTAGATCAAAATTTTCTCAAATTAAATGCTAATTAGAGTTTTTTTAAATTACTAAAACAACCTGAAATTAAAATGAAAATTGAAAATATTAAAAAAAAAAATTTAAAAAGCTAATACAATATATGAATAAATACTATAAAAAAATACTAAAGTACCACAGAAGACAGACAGACAGACAGAAGACAGACAGACAGACAGACAGACAGACAGATAGATAGATAAGATAGATAAGATCCTAAGATAGATAAGGCCCTTTCAAATGACTCAAAACTCATACAAGACAGTTGTTTACATACTAGGTCTTGAATTAACTGAGTTTTGGTATCTTGGCAGGCTGAGTACAGTTTGAAATTTGTCTCCTAAAATTAGAGCAAACTACATTTTCTGAAGAAAATGAGATGTGAAAAACACAAGCAAGGCCCTTTCAAATGACTCAAAACTCATACAAGACAGTTGTTTACATACTAGGTCTTGAATTAACTGAGTTTTGGTATCTTGGCAGGCTGAGTACAGTTTGAAACACATCATCTGAAACTCTAGAGGAGAAGTGGGAAATTTAAGCAAAAAGTCTCCACTTGTTGTCTAAGGAGGAACACTTGAGATCAGTTATTTGTCTTTCATATAGGATGAAGTCAATAATATTCAGGGTGGGCCAAACTGTAGCAGCTCCTCACGTATCAGCGTTAGGTTGCACTTTCTTACCTTGGGTTTGGGTGTGACGCCCGCGCTGGGTCCTGGGATGGTGTCAGGTGACTGCTGCACAATCACAAAGACAGAAAAAACACACACATGTCACATTATAAAAACACGTTCACAAGTTCATATACAGCTGAAAGTGTCTGAAATCTTCGGCAGGGACCCTTAAGGGCCTTTCAAACATCAGGACATCATGCGCCGATGTGACCTTCACATGAAAAGCGCTGCAGGAATGCAATTTTACGAGCTAATCCCATCCTGACAGTGACATTCTGCCATGTTTCTGGATGTCATGATGTGTCTTTGACATTGTGTCACACTACTGGACGCATCTGGATAAGCAAAACTTCCTTCATGTTTGGTTTTGACATTTCTCTCTGATACAGCATGCAAATCATGTGGCAAACACTGGCTGTGCTTTGAAAGGTGAATGGGTTCAAACTTGTATTGAGTATTTTGATATATACTATGGTACTAAATGACTTCCAAAGCCATATACCACGACGTTTATGCCAAGGTACTTGAAAGAATACAACAGCACAACAGTTCATTTGCACACACAAAAAAAATGCTATTGACATAATACACCAAAAAAAGAAAAGTCTCTAAACCATTTTCGTTAACTGAAATAAAGCTGAATATATATATATATATATAAATATATAAATATTAAATGAAAAACTTAATAAAATAAATGTTGCATTGGCATTTAACTGAAATAAAAGAAGTTGTAGCACTTAAATTACTAAACCTTAACTGAAATAAAAAATAAATTAAAGCTAAATAGAAATATATAAAAAACACAAAAACACATAACAAATTACGTTAAAACTCAAATTAATAATATAAAAATAAGCATTAGAAATATAAATAAGAAAAATCTAATTAAAATGACAAAAACACATAACAAATTACGTTAAAACTCAAATTAATAATATAAAAATAAGCATTAGAAATATAAATAAGAAAAATCTAATTAAAATGACAAAAGCACATAACACAATTGCTAAAACTAAAATTAAAAATCAAAAGATAAACATTGGAAATATAAAAAACTAATTAAAATGACAAAAACACATAACACAATTGCTAAAACTAAAATAAAATTAAAACTACAAAAATAGAAGTAAATAACACTTACTAAAACTAAAATGTAAAAATAAAAATAAACAATAGAATTCTTTTAAACTAATAGAATGACAAAAGCAAATAACACAATTACTAAAATTAAAATAAAATTAAAAATACAAAAAATAAACAACAGAAATGTTTTAAAAAAAACAAGAATGAATGAAAATGACAAAAGCACAACACAATTACTAAAACTAAAATTCAAAATATTTTAAAAATACTAAAACAGAACTTAAATAATACTAAAATAACACTAACCCAGGGTTAATATCATGGTACGTTGTTGTTCATGGATGTTTAACCTCACAGCTTTCAGGGCAGAGTGAGACACTTCACTTCTACTTAATTCTCTCTCAACATGGCATAAGTTCATGTTAAACATGCGCAGTCGTGCGATCATGTCAGACCCTCGATCGGGCTCTAAACTCTCTAAAGTGACGGTCTGTATGAATAAAGGCTGGTTAGGTTTTATTTGGACAAACTCTCAGGGTGGTGCCTTCATTTCCTGAGCTGGATCAGTGGACAGAACTGGAACAAAGATGCTGATTCTCATTATAACCATCAGAACTTTGATCAGATGGAGTTTTATCTGTCTAGAGTGACCCACATTCGTTCCTCTATGTGTCTTATTCTCTTCGAATCCAATCCTTTTTCTCCACTGTCCTATTATACAACAGCATAACAGAATACATAAAGATATTTCAGATTGCATGGTCATTAGTCTCCGTTATTTGCATGTAGTGCTGCACTGTTTGCTGATTGGTTCAATCTCAGATCTGTTCAGCAAAATGATAAACATTCAAATATATATATACATAAAAAAAAACATTCTAATGTTTTACAATCCACCAGTCAAAAATCACAATTCTAAGTGCTTAATAAAGTAACAGCACAATAAGACACATGATTTGAGGAATCAATCACGTCTGGAGCACAAACACTGAAGGACGAAGCACACATTTAAAGAGATAGTTCACCCAAAAATTAAAATGTGCTGTTCATTTACTCACCCTCAGGCCATCCAAGATGTAGGTGACTTTTTTCTTCAGTAGAACAGTAAAGAAGATTTCAACTGAAACCATGATCCTTGGTGATTCATATGCAAGTCAGTGGCTACCAGCACTTTGAGAGTCAAAAACAAACATACAGGCAACACAAAATTAATACTCATGGCTCCTGATGATATTTTGTGGTCTTATGAAGCGAAACGATCAGTCTGTGCAAGAAACTGATCATCATTTACAACATTATTACCTGTAATTCAGATCCTCAGGCAAATGGTCCAGAGTGATGTCTGGTTCACGAATGAATCATTCTTTTGAACTGATTCTTTTTTGTGAACTAGATGAACCAGTTCACCAAATCGGACTGAAGCGTCTGAAACAGTTCGAGCAGCACAGATCTACAAGTTATACTCAATCAAAACTCACTTTCAGACGCCTGACAGTCACTCCGAATCACAATGAGCCAAATTACTGGCGTATCTGATCCTGTGATGAATGAACTGATTCAGTGCTCCAGTTCCTCCAACAGTCAGCGAACTGAGGAAACAGTTCGACTCGAACCGAAGAGCCGCTGATGTGCGCATGCGTGAACCGAGCACTTGAATGAAGAGGCCAAATGAAAAAATGCATCGTAAAAAAAATGTTTTTAGGGTTTCTCATTGTTTATGTAAACATACATTTATACTTTAGACACATCATTATTGGGTGCTTTAAAAATATAATTGCGTATATGCTACATCATTGCATGATTACGTAAACAAACTAGTGAATTGAACCAGTTGCATTGAAATGATCTGTCCGAAAGAACCAGTTCGTGGAAAAGAATCAGATTTCCCCGTTTGCCTGAGGCTCTGGATTACAGGTAATAATGTTGTAAATAATGTTCAGTTTCTTGCACAGACTGATCATTTTGCTTCATAAGACCTCAATATATCGTCAGGAACCACGGGTATTCATTGTATGTTCCTTGATAAGCTTTTTTGACTCTCAAAGTGCCGGTAGCCATTGACTTGTATTTTATGAATCACGGATTTTCAAGGATCATGGTTTTAGTTAAAAACCTTTACTGTTTTCTAAAGAAGAAAAAAGTTACCTACATCTTGGATGGCCTGAGGGTGAGTAAATGAACAGCAAATTTTCATTTTTGGGTGAACTATTAATATATTCTACACTTGGCGTTTGAGGTTTGGTAAAATCAGCAGTTTCTATATCTGAGCAACCACAAATTTATATTTTGGGTTTCACAAACACTCAAGTCAGGAAGATAAGAATGGCTTACAACCAACATTACCATTCTGTTATCATGTTTTTCATCGAAGAACTCAAAACAATAGCAATGGACTCATCAGTCCATTCGGCTTGAATACTGTTTGAAATTCCTGAGAGCGCCTGTGATGATAGTATCTGTGCTTTCCGTGGGCCGGCGTGAAGCAGGCTGACCTGCAGGTATCCGCAGACAGGCCGCTATCAGCGAGTGCTTGTCTCTCTGTAGACAAATCTCTCCAGGGGCCACGCGCACGCTTGTTGGCTTTGTTTTGACTGGGCTCTGAAGACGGCGTGCATATCAGATTTACTGTATTGATTTGCTGTGGGCTGCTGCTGGAGATCTGGGAGCTGAACTCTGTTTGGGTCGGATGGGAAATGGAGCAGACAGGCCACAGATAAGCAAACGTATGAGGTGGAAAAGGCTTTTTTAGATAAAAATACATTATTGTCCTTCATGTATTAAAGCACAGAGTATAACTCGTCCCGCGCTATTTGTGCTAAAGACATGAACGTTTTTTTTTTTTTTAAATGTGAAGAGGCGTGATGTTACTTTACTAAGGACTTGAGATTTCCATGTACTGACAGAGCAACTACAAAGAACACCCAAGAAAACACATAGCAACGTCTGAGTAACCACCCTAGCAACCATTTATAACAACCTGGACATATTAGCAACCACCAAGGACACCCTAGCAACCACTTAGAACACCCTAGTAACTACCCAGAATATCCTAACAATCATGTAGCAGCGCCCTAGTAACCACTTAGAATGCCAAAGACACCCTAGCAACCACTTAGACCGCCAGAACACACTTGCAACCACCCATAACACCCCAGTAATCATGTAACAGTGTCCTACCAACTACTTAGAACACCCAGGACATTCTAGCAACCAACCACCCATGCAACTATCCAAAACACCCTAACAACCACCCAGAACACCCCAGCAACCACTTAGCAACCATAACATGTCACTTTGAATACCATTGTGTATGAAACGTGCTATATAAATAAACCTGTCCTGTTGCCAGCGTCCCCCCCCCCCCCCCCAAAAAAAACACCCATGCAAGCAACAACCTAGCAACACAAAAGCAACCAGCCAGAACACCCCACCAATCACCTATAACACAGGTCTACATAAAGCACACTGAATTACCACTGTGCATGAAGTGCTATATAAGTAAACTTGTTTGCCAGAATATCTCCCCCTCCAAAAAACACCCAACCAACCACCTAGAAAATGCCAGCAAACACCTAGAAACCACCTCTAACATATCTACGTAAAGCACATTGAATCAATTGTGCATGAAATGTTCTATATGAGCAAACTTGCCTTGCCCTCCAGAAAACACCCATTGCCCCGCCCCCAAAAACACCCATTCAATCACCTAGCAACCACCAAAAAACACCCCAGTAACCAGCTAGAAACATCTAGTAACTTCCTAGAACACTCAAAAAAAAGGGAAACTCTCTAGCAACCCCATGCTAGGATTAGATGGGTGAACTATGCCTGCGCGATCGCTGTGTACATTTTCGACAGGAAATGTAAAATTGCAGTTTAGTTCTGCCTGGCAGTTGCTAAAAAAATGAGTCTGTGTGTCATTATGTGTCAGAAATGGATTACTCTCAGATTAGAGCGCTCACACACACTCACACACACACCTCTCTTGCATGGCTTGCGGATAAATCTGTCACTCTGGATGAGTGCACTGCAAGATGGAGACATCAAACAAGCCTTGTCTTTCTCGTTAAGATTTCATTACATCCACAGGCGCTCACACTCAAACACACACACACACACACACACACACACACACCCACTTAGCAGCATGAGGACTGTGTCATTAAGTGCAGCTTCTCCATCAGAGAATTGCAGAGATTTCCATATGAGACGTCACATCAGCACGCGGACGGTTTTGAAACGCTCTTCCTCTGTTCAGACGAGCGTCTGTCGCCCCATCTGAGAATATTCCCAGCGCTCTCAGAGGAAAACTGGATTGCTTATAGGTAGCTCTTTCACAACGCACAAGACTTCTCATTTAGGAATCAACGTTGTTTCTCCTAAGACATGAAACCATAGCTGACATACTGTAAGAGTATAGAGCTGTAAAATGAATGTAAAAAATGAATAGCTCATTTTATCTTGGAAGAATTTGATTGGAAATCTTCATATTGACATCTTTTGAGGTCTTTTTTGTCCGGAGAAACATCTGAGAGGTTCTTCATTTAATGTTGTTGCTCTCTAGGAGAAACAACTCAGCTCTAGCATGATTTTTCTAGCATCATTAGCATGATAATTTGTCCTAAGCAGCACAAAAGTTTCCTTTGAGCTCACGGTTCTCACTGCATGGACAGAGAACATTGGACATGCTCTTAAAAATAACGGTTCTTCAATGGTTCTTTGCAGGAATTTTGTACCACCAGAGAACCATGTTATTATCTAGAAAAAAAAGCATCATATGATAACAAAATATTCTCATAAATCATCAAAGGAACCTAAAAAGATTCTAAAAGACTGTAAACACCAGCCTGGTCTCATGTTTATACGTAGGTATAAATACGTAACATTTACAAGCACAAAACGTACATTTTTGTACGTTTTTAGTCATGCTAAAACGTACAATTTAGACGTATTTCAACGTTTAAAACGTACAAATCGCTACGTATTTTTAGCTAAAAAACGTAAAAATATTTACGTATCTTTTATATCATTTAGATATTCATATCAATGCATTTTTATCATTTTATTAATAAGCGATTTCGATTTTTAGACCCCTTAACCTGCCCCCAAACCTAAACCTACCCA